CTCTAGAAACGCACCGCTAGTATATAAACAGTTAACAGGCCGCATGACGTGTCAGTTCTGGATAGTATTTGTTTGTGCGTGCACTTTTGACACTATTTTGTTGTTTTTTAATATTATTTATCCGTCGCTATGGCAACAAGAGGTTGTATAAATGTCCCAAACATATTCTGTTATATTTGTGGTAAGTTTGATCTAAGTAAGAGTTTTCTACCCGATTTATAAAAAATCCTTATCTGATAAAAAAAATATACATTATTTTCGAAATCTACGTAACTGAATAATGGAAAATCTGTTATTAAAACCAAAACAATTTTATGAAATTTAAATTCGCAGGCCTGTATAATTAAAGTGAATACAATTACCTCTCTCCAAAGTAAATGTTTTCATTACTTCCTGTCAGTTATTGTACTTTTAATCTTTCCTCAGTGTGTGCACTGGTGGTTAAGCTTTCTTATTCTGAAAGGGATTAAACATGAACAATCTAAACGTACTAATTAGGTGAGTGATAAGAGTTAAAGCCTCACCTTCCATCTATCTGTGGTTCATGATAAACTTGAGGACTTACAACAGCACATATAACCCATTGTACAGCTTAATATTATTCGTTAAACTGAGAACGTTCTGTGTTGATGAAAAACATCACCAAAATCTGAAGTTTTCTCAGAATCCTATAAAGTGTTAGTAAAGTCCAAAGTTTGCGAGTGTAGAAGTGTATGTTCTAGTGAATCATTTTTCAATAGTTCAGAGTAATTTCAGTCTAATTAAGATTCAACCGGAGGAGTTAATATACTTACATAAATGCAACTCTTATACTTTTCAATGGCTATTTTTACTAAACGGTGTCCAAATAAATTACTGCAGAAGTAGTATTAGTGGACGTTCCAATACATAGAAAACATCGTAATGTTGTATATATATACGATAGCATTATCGCCAATATCAATTACAAAACAAAACTCACTGTACATTAGTTTTCGTTCAATGACTTAAAACATTTGCAAATCCATTAGAAGTAAATCAGTACTTTTCTGAATAATAAGAAATATTACGCTCACCACCACAATCTGTAGTATAAAATAAACACGTCCCTTATAAACAGAATTAATAAGGAACTTAATAAAACCAAAATGATGACAGAAGTTTAACGTTTTGTGAAGTAGCCAACATGATGCATCATATATGATACAAATATACCATGTCGACATCATTAGTTATTCTAGGAAGTTTGAAAATTATAATCCCACCCACCCTTACCCCCATCCGAAAAAAAAAGCGAAATATATACACCAGTAACTGGTGATAACTAAAAGTTTAAAGATAACGGACAGACAATTTTGTAAGCTTACTTATAGTATCCCACAGTGTTCTTACAGCTTCCGTGAATACATGGGTCATTGAGGCACTCATCGATGTCCTGTGTACATGTTTGTCCAGTAAATCCTTCAGCACACGTGCAACGGTAGTCATCCCACAGGGATTTACACTGAGCATTGTTCCTACACGGCTGGGAAGCACAATGATCAACCGATTCACAGTGTTTACCTTGAGAAATATTAGAGCAACCATTTTTCGGAAGAGGTTATATAAAAGAAAATAACATCAACTAATTATTATGGTTAATAACTTAACACGTGGAAAGTCCACTAAGTTGCTATAGATATGTTTTAAGTGAAAATGTTTCGTTTTTCGATTATTACCCTTTACAAATACTATTTCTCTGAAAGAAATAATACATTAACCATATCTCCCAGCAGTAATGTCATGTATCACGATATTGGTTCTTATAGGCAAGTTTTATGCAATTTCTGTAACTTACACTCGATACATAAATCAGTACACTTCCATAACAAAAAGGTTTATACTTTGAACATGTTACATACAGAACATCTTAGCAGAAAATAAACACGGTTCGTTGGTTTATTTTATTTTAATTTAGTTCTATGTAACATAGCTATAAGTTTCGCACACACTGATAGTTCGGTAAACACGACTTTTTTTGTTTTTAATAGAATGGTGAATTCATAAAGAAGTAGGCAGATAATACTTTTTGTTACTACCATTTGTTGTAAAACGTCCAAGAACTCACACAAGTAATAGCCTACTTAAAATTCAATATTCACCTTTTTAAAAATAAAATTATTCCTGCTAAAAAGTAATACCTTCGAAAAAATTTACGAAAGCACTGTCTTTGACATTTTATGTTACAACACTAGAGCAATGCAATGACATGTTTCACATTCTACTGTTTAATTGTCATTTTAGTGGTGTTCATGATTTATGGGTGTCCGGATTGATACATAAAATAATGTTAAACGGTAGTTCCGAATGTATAAAAAACTCACCTCTGAAACCTGCTGCACATGTACAAATATAATCATCCAGTGTAATCAGCGTACAGGTTCCTCCGTTCTGACATGGGTCGCTATCACAGCTATTAGGGACAGCAATCTCACACAAAGAAGCCGAATAGCCCACAGGGCACGTACACGAAAAGATGGGACCACTAGTGGTGTTCATCTCAACGTTACAAGTACCACCGTTCTGACAGCGAGGACCAGGCCCAGTGTGGCAAGGATTTAAATGCTGGCAATACTTACCTACATACATAGCTGGGCAGCTAAAATAAATCAAACGAAACAAAAATAAATAAACAGTTTTTAAAACCTCTTTCAATATTTTGAGATGTTAGCTTCTGGAGACTATAACTTGTGTATTATAAATATATGTACCGAACACGATTTTTTTAAACACCACCATTAACAAATAAACGCAACTTAGCAAACTATTTCACGAAAAACGAGTCCATAAATCACTTTAGAAACCCAAATCTCCAGTCTAAAGATGATTACAATATTTTATTTTACAAATACTGATTCAAATTTTAGACTTATTTATTCCTCTTGTGCTACGTGTTCAGGATGGTTCAGACTGAACTTCTTATACATATGTAGGCTTCAAAATAATATATACATGTCTTAGTCGTCTTGGTAACTGATAAAATCATGAAACATTTCCAGAACACATAAAAAGTTGATATGCATATAAAATTAAAGATACGTACAGTGTTAAAAAAAAGCTTCCACAGCCTAAGAGTATATTACTAAATATAAAGTCATGTCAGCTCTATGTAACATAAAGAAAAATTAACTGTACACATACGACCATCTTTCTATAAAATGTATGCGTAAATATAAGTCCTATGTACTTTTATTAGTTATAATTAATTAAAATTGATATGCTATAATTGTCACTCCAAGCTAGTTTCCCAATCGATATTTTACTTTGACACAGATCAATGAACAACCCTGATCATAAAAGAATTACGAAAACTTCACCCACTTGTGAGAAGAAAAAAAGTTGTAAAAAGCAGGAATTAGGTTTACCACAACCGCTTATGATACAAACCAATTACTATAATTCAATCTACAGGAGTAAACATCTTACTGTTTTACCCCTAAAAAAAGGGTTAACCTGGAGACACAAAGGAGTTGAAAGGCGATAAAATGAATTATGTAAGCGAGAAACAGAGATTTGTTAATGACAAAATAAACCGTGGGAACCTCCAATCTAAAAAATAGTAACTAGTTGGTTTGTTATGAATTTCGCGCAAAGCTACACGAGGGAAATCTGCGCTAGCCGTCCCTAATTTAGCAGTGAAAGACTAGAGGGAAGGCAGCTTGCCATCACCATCCAACGCAAACTCTTGGGCTACTCTTTTACCAACGAATAGTGAGATTGACCGTCACATTATAATGCCCCCACATCATCATAGACAGCAGTACATCGATAATTCTACCGATGCTTAGCTGCCACACAATCACGAATTATTGGGACGGGAATTCGAACCCGCCACCCGCAGATTGCGAGTCAAGCGCCCTAACCACCTACCTAGTTGGAATTAATATATATATATTTCATATATAATGCACGAAATTCTGTCAATTAAAGATTTCAAAAAAATTACCAATTAGAATTCTGATACAAGGGACGTAAGAAATTTTGATAATTAGGAATCTCAATAACAACCGACTAACTGGAGCTATGATACAAATGGTACAAGAAATTTTGATAATTTAGTAATTTGTATAAAAACTGTGTTAATCCGGAGTGTTAAATAATTTACAAATATATGCCTATAAACTGTTAATCAATTTCTTGAAAAAAAATGACTAACTCGGAATCTGAAAGCTTCGATCCAAAATAAGGTGTTCAACTCGCAATCTGTGGATCTCGAGTTCGAATACCGTCACCAAAGATGCTCACCCCTTTCTGCTGTTATAATGGAACAGTCAATCTCACTTTTTGTCTATAAACGAGTAGCGCAAGAGTTGGCAGTGGGTGGTGTTGAATATATGCCTTCTCTCTAGCTATCATCTATCACTTCTAAATTAAAGAGGGCTAGCGCAGATAGCCCTCGAGTAGGTTTGCGCGAAATTCCAAAAACAAACAAGCTATTTATTTGGTCCTTAGCCTTTGTTTCAGACTGTCACAACATTATTGGTGTACTCCTGTGTTAAAGACTACCAAAAGCAACGGTTAATCCAATGCTCCACAGTAGACTATTTGAGCTCTGTCCACCGTTGGAAATCGAACCCCGGATTTTGGTGTTGTAAATTCGTAAACTTACCATGACCCACTGGTGGGACTTACGGATTGCAGTGAAAACCGAATAAACTTCGAATCATTATTTTTTTGCCTCTACAAGAAGTGTGATTTAGTGGATTTGATACTCCCTGTGTTTCTTAAATAAAAATGATCTAAACAGTATTTTATTAGTTCGAACGAATATAGAGCAGAATTAAATGCAGACCGTATGCATTCAGGTTTCATTACAGGGTAGGTACGTGTACGGATATGTTTCTTGCTTAACTGATCTCACGGTATCAGGTTTTGTTTGAATGTTTACATAGCGTGTTGTGAAAGAAATACACAGTTCACATTACTTTATTTTTGTTTTTGGGATCGCGATGATAGAACAGCTGTTAGATCAGTATATTAGCATATTACATGAACATATTATAGAGCTTATTTTGGGGGATATGATCAAATGGTCCCTTGACCTTCTAACTTAGCGCATATGAACAAAATTTTGGTTTAATAAGCCGCTTTCTTACATCATTTTTATCAGCGAACTGGTGTAATAACGTACACAGAATAGTTACTGAAAATACACAGTAAATGGGACAAACTGTCAGTCTCGCGTTATCTTCTGGCAGGAAAACTGGTCAACATCGCATAAGATTCCCTTATGGACACAGGAGATCAGAAAGCTGTTTAGCGACACTGGGGGAGGGGGGGGGGGGTTGAAATTCGGCAGGCAACTTTCGATGATTTATCTTTTATGTAGTTATCCGTTTTGTATAAAATTATTATCGATTTCCAATCAATTTGATGGCCAGAATCTCTCATATGAAGAAAAATGGCATTGTTTGTGTTAACAAATTGCCTTTTTTATGTTTAATTTGTTATAAGTGTTGTAGTCTCAACGCAAAGTTACACAATGGAATATCTCAACTCTGTTACGGAGCATCAAACACCAGATTTTAGCGTTCGAAGACCATAAAATTACTGCTGACCCAATGGGGATTTTGTGTTCAGAAACTCTATTGTTTGATGATTTTATTTTATCTATAGTTGGCGATAATTAAGTATTTGGTAGAATGGATGGCCTCATTTTTAATACCCCCCCCCAAAAAAAAATTATATGACTTTTTGTATTCTGACTTGGATTTTTAATTAATGTTAGTCTACTTCGAGAGTGTCAGTAACTTGGATGTGTTTTCAAAAGCAACGAGTGGATATCTTTTATTATTTATGGTCACATGTTATTATCGAACGGCAAAGAATATGTCGACGGGGTTTAAACTGATTTTTATTACGCTCTTAATCTATGTTTTAACTTTTCAATATTACATGAATGGTAGTACTGACCTTTTGCATTTTGATATATCAATTTCTTATTATAATAGGCATAATAAGGTATGGTGTGACTTATAAGTGTATTGGCCTATTTTCATTTAGATATGTTTTATTAATTTGATAATTTATGATATAAAGATAGAAACCCCTCCACCGACAAGTTCTTGACAAGTCGACGTCTATAATTTTTTTCTATTTTATTCAACATAATTTAGCGTAAGTTTTACCAATTAATAATAAATAATATACCTCAAATAAATAATAATAATAATAACGGAACCGGTTACTTGTAAATTTGTTTCGGCATATCGATTTTAACCATTTATCTTTGAATCACAAATCAAATCAATAATATCAACTCACTTTCAAAACATTCAGTTGTGTACTTAAAAAATTTTGATCATTTGAGTGTTTTAATTATTTATTTGCATAAGTACCTTGAATGTTTAAACTTTTATGAACCACTATTTTTAATTTTATTCTTGAAAGTCGAGATCTCCACGCTCAAAAATGTTCTAAGTTCTTCTTCCTTATCAACATAAGTTCTTCCCTATCCATTCCCTATCCCTATCTTCTCCATTGGCCCGACATAGCCAGGTGGTTAAGGCGCTCGACTCGCAATCTGAGGGTCGCGGGTTCGAACCCTCGTCACACCAAACATGCTCATCCTTTCAAAGAGGAAAGGCTGTCAAGTGGGTTGCATCCTTGACGTAAGAAACAGTTTTAGAAAAGACTATGAGAAATAAAAAAAAAGTCTCCATTGTTATCGATGATGCTTTTCCATCATACAATCAGGCTGTTAATGTTCTGATTAAAGAAATCATTTGGCTTTTGAAGCAAAAACACATGTCGATGTTCTTTTTAACACCTTCCACATTTGCATATGTTTTCCCATTAAGATGAGGTTGCAGCTAACAAAAAGATGGTAATCTGATGTTGCCATATCTGGTGAATATGGTGGGTGGGGAGAACTTCCCAACCCAACTCCATAATCTTGTGTTGCGTCAAACGTGCCACATATGGACGTGCATTGTCGTGGAGAAGAACACCTGAAGGGCGTTTCTGATTATGGGCTTGATTTAAACGTTCCAGTTGCTGACTATAGATCTCTGCATTGACGGTTCGCTGTGGATTGAGGGGTTTGAAATGAATTACTCCTTTGATGTCCTACCAAATATAAAGCATCACTTTCTGCGAATAGAGTCCAGGTTTGGGGTCGGAAGTGGTTTTTGTCTAGGACTGAGCCATTCTTTTTGACGCTTAATAATTGCAGAAATAATCCATTTTTCACCACCGGTGACAATTCTGTTCAAAAATAGTTTATGCGCCAAAAGAGGCAACGCAACGTTCACACGTTGGAAACGATGATCATCGGAGTGTTCGTGAGACACCCAATCACCTTCTTTATGGAGTTTTCTCATATTCCTTAAATGTTTACGTATTGTTTCATGAGAGACATGCAATTTCAGGGCCATTTCACGAGTGTATTGCCTTGGGTTAGACTCAAGAAGCGTCTTCAGAGCATCAATATAAATTCCAACATATCGGCCCCTGCCATCACAGTTTTTAAGGCTAAAGTCACTTGAACGAAATTTGCTGAAAAGTCGTTGACACTTACGAACGATCAAAACATTTCCATAAACTTCTTTGATATTCTTTGTGGCTATAGAGGCGTTGTTTTTCCTTTCTTGTATTCAA